GGCGACGACGGCGGCGACGACGCGACGACGACGACCAGGTTACAACTGTATTCGCCCCTGCTGCCCCTTGTCGAAAGGTGCGCACCTCGCCACCGGACACCGTACCGTCTGCACTCGAGGGGCTCCACTCTGCTGCAGCGTGCCACGACGTCGAGCAGGCTACGCGGCCTGGACCATGGTCTGCGCTCCAGGCCCCACCGCACCGCCAGGACGCAGCATATGCCCTGACCATCTGGTCGGCAAACCTCCAACGAATGGCCCACGACGGCGCGCAGCAGCCTTGCTGTCCGGAAGATTGGCGACTGCGCCGCCGTGTCTCCGCAGACCAGCCTAGCGCACCCAGTCTTTGTGCACACTCTCTGCTCCGCGTCGCTGCACGTCCGCCCTTTCGTCAACACCATGGCCGCCTCCTAGATTGGACGACGCCAACGGTGTACAAGACCAGCTCGGTGCACGCTTCCACGCTTCCACGCGCACTGTCACGCGCGGCAGCGCAACTCATGCTGTCTTGGTACACGCTTGGCGTTGTCCAGCTAGGTACCCGCAGGTTGGAATCGGTCTCGGGCGCCAGGCAGCGGCCGCAAGACGAGATCGTCAGGGAGTCGGCCTTGGCGTGGCGCACTTCTTTTCTGTGTGGCGCGCCGGGCGTGCAGTTGTTGTTGCCTCGCTCCGTCTCGATTCCCTGCCGATCAGAACATGTGGAAAGCCACCGAGAGACCCTAGGCGAGAGACGACGGGATGGGGCGAGACGGCTTTTCTTTCGCTACACGATGCCGAACCATAGTTTCGGATTGTGCTTCTGGAAGAGCGCACTCGGCCTCCTTTGTGTAGGACAGGGCCGTGGCCATGGTGTCGACGGGGCGCATCAAGCGTGCCCAGGAGCTAATTTGGACAAGCTATTCCTTTGGTGATCTCGAGCGCCATCATCATCATCATCATCATCATCATCATCATCATCATCATCATCATCATCATCATCATCATCATCATCATCATCATCATCATCATCATCATCATCATCCCGACCCCCATTTTCGCCCACGCTGCAGGGACGGCGTTCGCTCTACCATGTCCATTGCTCGGACTGTCAGGATTCCCATGGCACCCACGACGTCCGGCTAGACGAATTCCCGTGATCATGCTCGTCCCGGGGATCATCGTCGTTAGCATGGCATGGGCACCCTCTTTCCCACTGCAGCACTCTTGGCTCAAGGCTGGGCCCAGTGCCGCCCTGACCTTCATAATCTGATTCTACGCCAAGTCCTTTATATCACACCATTTGGAGGCCTTCTCAATGGGGCCGGAGCAAATGACCATATGCCTCGCAGCTGCGGACAGCCGGCGAGCTTCAAACGAAAACTTGAAGAAGCCCATCGCAGGCGCCGAAATTTTAACGCTGGGCACATCGAGCCCGCCGCAGATGACTGAACTTTGTTCGAAGCAGCGTGTGTGGATCGCGGCCGGGTCGCGGGATGAGTCGCGGCCAGGACGACGACAATAGGTGTGGCAGCCGCTCGGCCCCCTCATTCTGATGTGGTCGTCCGGTCGCAGCGCATCTGTGATGTATCGGCGACACCCGAGTGGAGAACACTCCCAGACATGATGGCGTCGTGAAAAAATCAGGACGGGAGGTTTTTCGCTATTTTCGACCCCTGGGGGCCCTCGCCGGGCCTCGGGACCGTCAAAAAACGACTCAGGACGAAAAACCGGCCCCAGGGAAAGGGTCTAGATTTCCAAGGACGCCGTCCTGAAAAGATCAGGACGTCGCATGTCTGGGCTGGCGTCGTCGATACGTCCATCGGCGACCAGGTTCGGGCCGGACGAAAGGGGGGGATTGGGAAAGGGGGGGTTGCGAAATTTGCTGCATGCAGCTGGTTTCGGCCTCACCGGGGGGCCCATTCCTCGACACATAGCTCCCTCCGGCGCCGGGAGGCGCCGGGAAAATCAGCATACGTGAGCTGATTCTCAAACCCCCCATTTGCTGTCCCCCCCTTTCGCCCGATCCGACAGGTGCGACCCGGGGGCCTCCTCATCTCGGCTGTTGCCAGAGGTGTCCCTGGCCAAAGGGATCTCCAGGACTTCGAGGGGGGGTCCCCACCTCAGACATTTTCGCGTCGTGGAGCAAATCACGACGGCTGATTTTTTGGCCGCCTCGGCTTTGGCGGCCCTCGCTGGGCCCCAGGACCATCCACAGAACGATTCGGGATGAAAAACCGGCTCTGTGCTTCTGCGGGACCCGTTCTGCAAAGATCTCGGGCGTTGCGCATCGGGGGGCGAGGGGGCGACAGTTACATGGGGTGGAGGAAGCTGCACCTCTTGTGCCCTACAGGGGCACGGAAGGTGCACGCTTCTCCCCCCCTCCCATCATCTGTTGTTGTCGTCCTCGCATTCGTCGCCACCCCCTGTGAAGCAATGACTCTCCCTCCCGTCTATCGCACCCCCCCCTCCCCCCACCGTCCCCCCCCCCCTTCCCTCCCAGCAAGCAAGGCCCGAAGACCAAGACGTCGGATGTCCCGGCCGCCATGGGGCTCCCACGGCGGCCCCCGCATGGGGCCCCAGAACGGCGCGAGCGGCCGGGGGGCACCCCAGGCCACGGACAATTCCCGGGAGCCGAGCTCCTCGGCCCCGCCCCACCCCCACCAGATCTGCGATCCCTCGATCTGGCGAGCCCTGGATGCTCGACCCCTCGATGTCTCGATCCTCGACCCCTCCAGTCGGCGGCGAGCGAGGGGGGGAAGCGAGCAGGGGCGGGCCTTTTTACGCAGGCTCGGAGGTCCTCCAGCCTTCTGAGAAGCTGTCCTGAGCCTCCCCCGAAGGCACAGACAGCTTCTCAGAAGGTCGGAGGGCTCCTGGAAGGTCTTCTCCTTCTCATTTGCCCTCCTCGCTCGCCGCCGATCCGCTGCCCGACCTGGCCCGCTTCCGCCCGAGGGGGGCGGGAAGCGGCGCCGTGGTCGTCGCCGGCGCGGGGTTTTGCCGTCTCCCCCCCCCCCTCCCTCCGCGTCTCCGCCCCTTCTCGGAAACCCACCCAGGGGGGCAAGATGCTGGCCCCGGAAGGAGATCCTCCGCCCCAGGCCTCTCTCAGGGGGGCGGGACAGCGCTCCCGGTGGCGAAAGATGTGCGATTCTTCCCCCGCGGTTTCGGCGGCTGCGGAGCTGCGGCGTCCCAGCTGCTGCTGTCTGTTGTGATGCGGCCGCTCCAGAATGTTCTGTTCTTGGCCCCAGCGATTCGCACGATTCGCACATGCCCATTCGTCAGGTCTGATTCTTCGAAGGTTCCTCGGCCAGGATCTTTTCACTCCTAATCGTTCCACCCTGGGCCCCTTCCTGGCCACTGGGGGGCCAGGAACACTTTGGAAGCGAGCAGCGTTTTTAGAAGTGAGCACGAGTAGTAGAGAGGTGAACGACGTGTCATGTCTAATTATTCGAAGGTTCAGTGGCCTGGATCTTTTTATTCCTAATCGTTCCATCCTGGGCCCCTTCCTGGCCACTTAGGAGGGAGCAGAATTTTGTTTTGGAACTGAGCACGAGTAGAGAAGTGAACGACGTGTGGCTCCGGGCACCACACCGCCCCTGACCTTTTTTCCCCAATCAGAGCTTGCTTCTGTAGGGGTCCTAGCGGATACTGAGGTGAGGTGGGCGGCCGATTTCGGTGGCCGGGGCCGGGTGCCCTGGTGCCCGCGGGGGTGCCCAGGTGGCCGATTTCGGTGGCCGGGCCTGGGTGCCCGGGTGCCCGGGTGCCCGGGGGTGCCCGGGTGCCCGGGGGTGCCTGGGTGCCCGGGGGTGCCCAATAGCCCAGTAGCCCTATAGCCCTATAGCCCTATAGCCCTGTAGCCCTATAGCCTTATATCCCTATAGCCCTAATAGCCTCATATCCCTATAGCCCCATAGCCCATAGAGCTCGCTAGCCCCATAGCCCTATAGCCCTATGGCCCTATAGGTCACAGTCCTATAGCCCTATAGCCCGATAGCCCTATAGCCCTATAGCCTGATAGCCGTATAGCCCTATAGCCCTATAGCCCAATAGCCCTATAGCCCTAACAAAAAATGATTGGTTTTTTTTTCCTGTATCATATTCCTAATCGTTCCATCCTGGGCCCCTTCCTGGCCACTTAGGAGGGAGCAGAATTTTGTTTTGGAACTGAGCACGAGTAGAGAAGTGAACGACGTGTGGCTCCGGGCACCACACCGCCCCTGACCTGTGGCATCCCAGGCCGACCCCTGGCTGCCCCGGGGCCCGGCGCGCGCCTCCGGGGGCCCGCGGGGAAGAGCGGGCCGGGTCCGCGAGCTCGGATCGTCGGGTAGTGGTCAGCGCCAGCAGAATTTGTGGGGGAGGATCAGCGGAGAGGAGGCATGCTGCCAAGTGATTTCCAGATGTCTAGAACGTGTGTCAAAGCTGTTTAAAGCATGTAAGGAGCATGTTGCAAACATGTTCAGCACATGTTTCTACATGTTCAACACATTTCAAATTCAATGATAAGACTGTTAGGGTGTCCATCGTCGTGGCATCCACAACAGTAGATCCCCGTGGTCGAAAGCCAGCCTGATCTGGCATCGTTCCGGTTGGTCCCGCTCGATTTAGCCTGATCTGGCCTTGTCTTGGGCTCAGTCTGGGCGGATTTGGCCGAGTGGCCCCCTTTCATCGAACTTGTGGGAGCTCTTGTTCCAGTTGCTTTGAATATTTGGAGGGGCCTTTCTTGTCCTGTAAGTTGTTGTCTTCTCTTGTGCTCCAGCGTGGGTTCGTCGCGGATTCGACTTGAATTCGACTCGGATTTGAAAAGTGTTCGACGCGGATTCGACGTGTTCGTGTTCGAAATGTATTCAACGTGGATGCGACACGGACAGTTGGCGCGATGGGACAAACGAGGCCCTTCATATATGCAGCCTACTTTGTTCGTTTCTGTGAAGGCCTCTCAGGAATTGCCTCCCAAGCTTGTCCCTCGAGCCTCGAACCTGGTATCGTCTGCTCAGGTCCCAGTCTGAGAGGCCCCAGAACAGTGGGGGATGGCTGCCAGTCTCGCATGGCTGCTCATGGCCGCCTCGCTCCCGCTCGCGGCAAGCCTCACCGCCGCGTCGCGGTCGACGCCGGCCAAGAAGAGCATGGTGGCCACGGTGCTGAAGCACACCCAGGCGCCGCCAGCACGGTATTCAGTTCCCCGCCGCGCGGTTCATCTCGGATGCTCGTTTCGGGGACTTTCTGACACCCACCCAACAGATCTGGTCGATTCCAGTTCGGCTCCAGTTCGGCTCCAATTCGACTCAAGCTCGGCTCCAGCTCGACTCAAGTCCACGGACGTTCGACGCAGCATCGACGCAGGAGTGGAGCGAGTGGCTCCAGTAAGTTCCCGAGGCAGCGACTCACGAGTGGAGCGAGTGGCTCCAGGAAGGTTCCCAGAACGAGCACTCACCTCCTCCAGTGGTCCAGAGTTCGCGTATCACACGACCCAATCGTTCCTGACCTTGACCCCCCTCATCCTCCACCCCCCTCCCTCCTGGGGTGGCTGGCCCCGAGGTGTGGCACAAGCCTCGCGTAAAGGCCCCCGCTTGCGCTTCGTGCAGTCGCGTCGTGGGTAGGAGGAGAATTCTGGGCTCGGGGGCGCCTCGATGTTATTCAAGCTTGGCATCAGTACCAGCAGGTCCTCTGGAAAGGCAGTTCTGCAACCTCCTTGAAACTCCGTTTTGCAACCTCTTTGAAACTCCGTTCTGCCTGAGTTAAATTGTGCTCCTCACTTTTCTCGTTTTATTTATCTCTTGCAGGCACCACCAGTGGACGTGATGCTGGCCCACCAGATCCGAATGCTCAGCGCCTCGCGCAAAAACGTGGCACAGGTGGCGGTCATCAACGCAAAGGTGCCTGGCTTGGAGGAGCAGCAACAGCAGCAGCAGCGCCACCACCACCACCAGCAGCAGCGGGAGGGTGATACATATATAGAGAGAGAGAGAGGAAGAGAGAGAGAGAGAGAGATAGAGAGAGAGAGAGAGAGAGGTAGAGTCACTAGAACAGGAGAATGAGGAGGAGGAGGAGGAGGAGGAGGAGAATGAGGAGGCGGAGGAGGAGGAGGAGTAGCAGCAGGGGTGGCAGAGGTCTTGAGGGCGAGTACGAGGAGGAGGAAAAGGAGGAGGAGGAGCAGGAAGAGGAGGTGGAGGAGGAGGAGGAGGAGGAGGAGGAGGAGGAGGAGGAGGAAGGTGCCCGGGGTGGACAATCCCCTGGGTACGGCCCACGACCCTATTATCGGGCAGATGCGTCGCAGCTACGGCACCACAGGCTCCGTGCAGGTTGTCGAGCTCGAGACGAACGATACCAGGCAGCAGGAGTTGATGCAGAAGGTGTTCTCTGTGCGCCAGGGCAGCACCGCAGCTTTCGCGAAGAAGTTCTTCAAGCAGAACCTCACGTCTACTGACATGAAGCGCCAAATGGCTTACTTCAACGCGATGATGCAGTTCATCGACCTCTGCAGCCAGGCGGAGTACGGCGTGGAGATCTGCGTCAACATGCAGGGGGAGTCCTTCCTGCACAGGAAGGACAAGAAGGGCTTGATCGAGTTGGCCAGCGAGCTGTTCGACGGCGACGAGGAGGTGATCGCACTGCAGCCCCCGTCGTACTGCGACTACACGCAGGCCCACCACAGGCCGGCGTGGGCAAAGAAGGAGAAGTGGACCGACAGCAGCTTCACGAAGTGCGTCGCTAACGCGACCAAGGCAAAGCCAGAGGCCGGCCCCGCCAACATGTTCTTTAACCGACAGCGGTTAATGGCGGCGCTGCCGCTGAGCGTGAACGCGGACGACCTGGCCCTCGACAAGGGCTTCGACCACGCCTTTGCGGCAGGGCTGTCGGGCCCCGGAGCGATCAAGGGCATGCAGTGTGGTCACGGTGGGACAGAGACCGGAGGTGGATAGACCCCTTACCCTGACACGTCGATTCAGGAATTGGCCCGCTCCGCTTCGCGAGAGGGCGTCGCTGCCACCATTTTTGCGGGTCCAGGTCCGTCGGTTTCGGTCCCAGGCCGTTTCCAGTAAGGGGAGGTTTGCTAAAGGGAGGTTCGTCCACCGCCGAAAAAAGGTGCCCACACCGCTGCTCCCGGACTCCCGGGACGCGTTATGATTTTCCCGGGAAGGGCTTGGGCCCCTGGTTCTCTTTTAGTAGGTTCCCCCCCCCGGACCCTTCGGGAAGAGGGCCGGCGAAATGATTCTGCGATGAGTTACGAGGTAGTCACACTTTCCAGTTGAACAAGTGCGTTTTTCGCGTGCCCGCTCGAGGAAAGTTTGCCCCCCATCTCGGATCCTCCATTAATAACTGGGTCCGCAGACCACCGTTTTCCGTTGTAGGAAAAAGGGTGCGGCGCGTTTTGTGGGGAATCGTCGACAAAGACAAAAAACATGGAAGTATTGTTTTTTTGCGTGCCCGCTCGAAGATGGCGCGTCCTACGCGCAGGAATTCTGGAGGTGTCTCCAGCGAAACGCTCGTCTTGCAAAATTTGAAGGGCCTGGGCGCTCCAGGATGCCCAGGGGGTTCTGGGAGTGCAGATCCAGCGTAATTTACAAGGGATCGAGGCTTTGGGAGCGCGGACGCCGCGTAATTTTCGAGGGATCATGGCCCTGGGAGCGCGGATCCAGTGTGATTTGCTAGGGATCGTGGCCCTGAGAGTGCGGGGGTCTAACATGCATGCCCCGACCTGGAACCACGTGTTTTTACGTGTCCAGGACGCCTATTTGTACGAGCGACGTGTCCAGGCCGCCTAGGGGGGTATCCAAAATGGCGTCGGACCCGACGCCGATTCTTTGGTGTCCAGGCTGCCCGAACACATATCCCGATACAGCAAAGTCATGTGTTCTTGCTCTGGACAGGGGGTGGCGCGTCGGGGGCCGAGGATGTCTCGAGCGGGGGCGCGAATTCAGCGTGTCCAGGCCACGCAGGGGGGTATCTGACATGGTTGCCCCGAGATGGAAGCATCCAGGCCAGCCATGGGGATATCTGACACGGTTCTCCCGAGCTGGCACCACGTGTTTTTACGTGTCCAGGCCTCCCAGGGTGGTATCTAACATGATTGTCCCGAGCTGGCACCACGTGGTTGCATGTGTCCAGGCCACGCAGGGAGATATCTATCATGATTGTCCCGAGCAAGGGCCAAGTGTTTTAACGTGTCCAGGCCACCCAGGGGTGCACCTGAAATGGTTGCCCAGAGCTGGTCCCACGTGTGTTTACGTGTCCAGGCCACCCAGTGGTGATATCTAACATGGTTCTTCCGAGCTTGAACCATGTGTTTTTAGGTGCCCAGGCCACTCAGGGTGGTATCTAACATGAGTGTCCCGAGCTGGCACCACATGTTTACACGTGTCCAGGCCACCCATGGGGATATCTAATATGGTTGTCCCGAGCAATGACTGCGTTTTAACATGTCCAGGCCACCCTGGGGTGTACCCGAAGTGGTTGCCCAGAGCAGGTCCCGCGTGTGTTTACGTGTTGAGGCCGACCAGGGGGGTGGTATTCTATCATGGCGGAGCCAGGTGCTTTCACGTGTCCAGGCCACCTATGGGGGTATCTAACGTGGGCCTCTTGGGGCCTCCCTGGGGGCCTGGAACGGACGTATGACATGAAGATGTGTAGAGGATGTCTCGAGCGAACCACTTGTTTTCACGTGTCCAGTCCGCCCAGGCGGATATCTAGCATGAGGTGGCACGTTCATTGGCACGTTCCGTAGCGAGCCCCCTTGGCACGTCCCGCAGTGCGTCCCCATGACACCTTCCCTGGGACGTCGCCTGGCGCGTCCCTTGGGACGTTCCGCGGCGCGTCCTCCTGGCATGTTCTCCTGTCAATTGGCTCTGGGGCAGCTCCTGTGTGCTCAGGCAGCTGGAGCTTAAGATCCAGATCAGTTCGGTGAGGACTTGGATGCAAAGGAGGACTCGATCCACAACGCTATAGGGCACAATCGCGGCATGGCACATCGCAATTCAGCACGGCGCAGCACAGCACAGCCCTGGGCACGGAACATCAAGATCGTTACACTCAGCATAGCAACTTGGCACGGTCCGGGGCACGTCCCGAGGCGAGTCCCCCTGGCACGTCGCGCGGCGCGTCCCTTGGCGCGTCCCGTGGCACGCCCCATGGCACGTTCCGTAGCGCGTCTTTTTGGCACTTCCCGCGGTGCGTCCCCATGGCACGTCCCCTGGCACGTCGTTTGGCGCTTCCCTTGGGACGTTCCGCGGCGCGTCCTCCTGGCATGCCCCCCTGTCAATTAGCTCTGGGGCAGCTACTAGGTGCTCAGGCAGCTGGAGCTTAAGATCCAGATCAGTTCGGTGAGGACTTGGATGCAAAGGAGGACTCGATCCACAGCGCTATAGGGCACAATCGCGGCATGGCACATCGCAATTCAGCACGGCGCAGCACAGCACAGCACTCGGCACGGTACATCAAGACCGATACACTCACAATTGCATTTGCCCGTCGCCGAATCAGGTGCCTTTGAAGCGTTGCCATGCCTTACATGTCTTTATTCCTTTCCGGGTTCGTGGGTCGATTATGTTTGTCTCGAGGAGATTCCAGCCGTTGCGACGAGAGCCTTCCAGGATTAGCAGCGGCATCGGTACCTATTTTTCCCGGAAAGGGCCTGAGCCCAGGGTTCTCTTTTAGAGGTTTACCCCAGGAATCGACGGCTGCAGGGCCGGCGAAATTATTTGAGAAAAATATCGAGGTCGCGAAGGGTCAGCGAAATTATGTTTGAGGATGTCTCGAGCGAGAGGCTTGTTGTTCAGAATTTGTTGAGGACGTCTCGAGCGAAACGCTTGTTTTGTGTTACAGTTCGTTCCTCTCCTGGGGACCAGAATTCAAAGGATGTCTCAGGTGAAATGCTTGTTTTCACGTGCCCAGACCTTGAGGATTTCTCGAGCGAGATGCTTCGAGGATGTCTCGAGCGAAATGCTTGTTTTGCAGAACTCGAGCGGCCTGGGCACCCCAGGATGCCCAGGTGGTTCTGGGAGTCCGAACGCAGCGGAAGTTATCAAGGAAAGTGGCCCTGGGAGCGCGGACGCAGCGTAATTCACGAGGTAGCGTAGCCCTGGGAGCGTGGACGCAGCGTAGTTTACGAGGGACCGTGGCCCTGGCACGGTCCCTGGCACGTTCCGTGGCGCGTCCCGCGGCGAGTCCCCCCTGGCACGTCGCGCGGCGCGTCCCTTGGCACGTCCCGTTGCACCATTGGCACGTTCCTTAGCGCGTCCCCTTGGCACGACCTGCGGTGCGTCCCCATGGCAAGTTCCCTGGGACGTCGCCTGGCGCGTCCCTTGGGACGTTCCGCGGCGCGTTCTCCTGGCGTGTTCCCCTGTCGATTAGCTCTGGGGCAGCTCCTATGTGCTCAGGCAGCTGGAGCTTAAGATCCAGATCAGTTCGGTCAGGACTCGGATGCACAGGAGGACTCGATCCACAACGCTATAGAGCACAATCGCGGCATGGCACATCGCAATTCAGCACGGCGCCGCTCCGCACAGCCTTTGGCACGGAACATGAAGATCGATACACTCAGCATTGCAATTTGGCATGTTCCCAGGCACGTTCCGTGGCGCGTCCCGTGGCGAGTCCCCCTGGCACGTCGCGCGGCGTGTCCTTTGGCACGCCCGTGGCACGTCCAGTGGTACGTTCCGTAGCGCGTCCCTTTGGCACGTCCCGCGGTGCGTCCCCATGGCACGTCGCCTGGCACGCCCCCTGGCACGTCCCTCTGTCAATTAGCTCTGGGGCAGTTACTAGGTGCTCAGGCAGCTCGAGCTTAAGATCCAGATCAGTTCGGTGAGGACTTGGATGCAAAGGAGGACTCGATCCACAACGCTATAGGGCACAATCGCGGCATGGCACATCGCAATTCAGCATGGCGCAGCACAGCACAGCTCTTGGCACGGAACATCAAGATCGTTACGCTCAGCATTACCATTGCCCGTCGCCCAATCAGGTGTCTTGAAAACGCTGCCATGCCTTACATTCCCATGTTTCTCTCTGGGTCCGTGGGTCGATCATGTTTCCTCTGAGGTCACTCCTTCGTCATCATGCCCGCTGGCGAGGAGGCCAAGTGCAAGTTCAAGGGCAACAAGAAGTTGCCCCTCCGGGGTCAGGCGCTCGAGGCTGGCAAGCAGAAGGGGAAGGAGGCCGGCGAGCGTCAGGAGCTCGACGCCCTCTCCGGAGAGTACGGCTCCTTTAACCAGAGGCTCGTGCAGGGGATCGAGATCCTGGCGGACCGCATGGAAAGGTCCGAGGAGAGCGGTTGGGATTTTGGGGGTCACGGATTGCAAAAACCATGTCGGCGGATGTCAGGGTGTTTGTGCACCGCATGGGGAGCCGATCTCCCTGGACCCCCGGAGGCGGTGGACGAATGTGGATATACGGTCGGGAATTTTGGCTTGGCGTGTCTCTCCGCCGGTTCTGGCCCACCATGCTTCGGTGCGAGACGCGAACCACTTCCGAGCTCCGAGTCTTTCCCAGGTTCCCATCCAATGGAGTGGAGCGACACGCTCTCCCCTCGCAGGGCATAGCGCATCGCTGGGGCCGCCTCCTCGACACGCTAAGCAACAGTTCCCGACCGTATTCTGGCTCTCTGGGGTCCATATCCGCCGCGCCCCCTACGGGTCCCAGGACGTCGGTTCCCCGGGCGGCGGACATGTGCGAGTTCGGGCCTAGCAGAAGGTTACCAGCCTGAAACAGATCCCTATACTTCATCATCGTATCTCGCTGCTGATCTTGAGGGTTCTCTCGATTTCTGGAGGGCGCATCCCTAAACTTCCCATCGCCTTGGGCTCGTCAGTCTTGGGGACAGGGATCAGCTTGAGGCTGGTGAAAAAGGGGGATGCTTCCCGCCCCGAGCGGGAACGTGGGAGACAAGTGCCTGGAGATGTGCCCGTCCGCCGACCGCATCAGGGAGGGCATGGCGTGGTGAGCGGCCGCACCCGCGCGGCGGTGCGGAGGCGGAGGTCGCGGCGGCGGCGCCGACTGCCAGCACTGCGGGCTGCCAGACATCGAAGGTGCCAGACCAGACCGGCCAGCTCTAAGAGATCCCTGGAGGAGGAGGAGGAGGAGGAGGAGGAGGAGGAGGAGGAGGAGGAGGAGGAGGAGGAGGGGGATGATTTATGGTGGGGGCGTTCGTTCGGGAACAGGCCCGGGAGGCCTCAGACCCTGGAGGGCTCCCCATCTGGTGAGGGCGGCGGCGACGTCCATGGCCAATCCACGACTGGACTTCCACTGGCTTCCAGACCCTGGACTTTCCTGATCTGAGGGTTCCTTCTCCAATGCCCCCACCGTGCGGACGAGCGTGCGAGCGCACGGCCTGCGGATGGCTGCGGGCGCCGCTCTTTGGCATCCGCCGGCGGGTGCGTGCCCACGAAGACATGGTTGCCTCTCGACGCCCGGGGGCGGTGGGCGACAGACCGCCCGGGCGCCAAGCGCCCGGTCCCTCTTCTGGGAGCAATCGGGGGTGGACAGACCTCCTACCCTGACACGTCGATCAAGGAATGGGCCGTTTTCGTTTCGCGAGAGGGCGTCGCGGCCGTCACATTTGCGGGTCCAGGTCCGTCGGTTTCGGTTTCCGTAGGTTTACTAAAGGGAGGTTTGTCCACCGCCGAAGCAAGGCCGCGAGCGGCTGTGCGGGGGAAGCTCGTGGAGAGGGAGGCTCGGCCATCGCGGGGCCTCTGTGGAGGACCCCCTGCGCTCCCGGGCGCTCCCGAGCAGGCGCTCCCGAGCAGGCGCTCCCGAGCAGGGCCCTCGCCAGGCGCTCGCCAGGCGCGCGCGCTGCGTGCCTCTCCTGCTGCGTGAGGATCGCCGCCATCTCACTGTGGACGGCGCCTCCGCCGAGCGAGATCCCACGACGCACACTGCTCGGAGGTCAGCACGGATGTCTTGGATCGGCGCTGGGCCTTCCCCCTCCCCGGCGCGCGAAGCACGCCACGGGCAGGGCCGATGGCCTCTCCGGGGGGGGGAGGGGTCCAGCGCCGACCGGGGAAATCTGCGCGGGGCACCAGGAGCAGATGCTGCAGGATGTCGTCTACGCAGTTCGTGGCCATTCCAGTAATCTGCGGGCCATCGGCCCATCCCGCCACCCTGCCTGGGCTCTAGGTTGGAGGCCTTTCGGGGCCCTCTTGTCCCGCTGCGTGGCGCTCGCGGCTCCGAGCAGGTCCATGCGGGAGGCGGCGGGGAGCCGCGGGCTGGCACGCCAGGAGCCCTGGGAAGAGTTTTCGAGAGCTGGGCTCGGGAGCCTTGAGACGGGGGTCAATGCAAACGGGGGTCAGCCAGGGCACCAGATCCTGCAGGATCCTGCGAAGACCCCCTCTGGCTGACCCGGGTGTGCGAGCCGCTCGTGGCCGCGAGGCGGCCGCGCATAGTGGCTGACCCTGGTTTGCGAAGATCAGCGTTGCAGTTTGTTTTTCCTGCATTGCAGTGTTTGGTTTCCCGCTGACCCGGGTCTCTGGGTTGACCCGGGTCAAAAGATCCCCGATGGGCCCCAATATTCGATCCCGAAGCTTGGGGGACTTGGGCCTCTGAGGGACCTGCGGAGGGCACTCCAACTCGTGCCTCGCGGCTGCGGAGGCTCTGTGTCTACCTCTTGCGGGTGGTGTGGTTCTCGAGGGCGCCACAGGCGAGTCCCCGCCGACCCCTGCCCCTCGTGGACAGACTGCGGCTTGTGCAAGCAGAGGCTCCCAAGAGTGCTGCGGATCGGCTCGTGGGAGAGGCCTGTGGTGGGGCCGCCCTGAGGGCTTCTTTCATCGCTTCGCCCATTGCGCCGGCCCATATCGCGCGCCCTGGAAGCCTTTTTGGGGCTTCCTGGGGCCACCTTCGGGCGCAAGGCTCGAACTGTCGGTTCGTGCTCCCCCTCTTGGGCCCAGGGCCGTTTTGGGGCTCTCTTGGGCTGTCTTGGGCGCCTCCTGGGCCGTCTCGAGACGTCTTGGGACCTCCTTCGGGGCCTCTTGCGTCGTCTTGGGGCGGTCTTGGTGTCCCGTGGGGCCGTCCTGGAGCTCCGGATGTTCGAAGAGGCGATCGCGTGAAAAGCATTGATCGGGGGTGGACAGACCTCCTACCATGACACGTCGATTGAGGAATTGGCCGTTTGCGGTTCGCGAGAGGGCGTCGCGCCCGTCACTTTTGCGGGTCCAGGTTCGTCGGTTTCGGTCCCAGGCCATTTTCACTAAGGGGAGGTTTACTAAAGGGAGGTTTTTTGTCCACCGCCGAATTGAAGAACACAATCGAAATCACTGAATTTGTCTTTGTGGGCCCTCTTGGGGGACCTCTTGCAGCGCTCTTGGGGCCTCTTTGGGGCCTCTTCGGCTGTCTTGGAGGCAGCTTCGCCCATCTCGGCGACTTCGATGGCATCCCAGGTCCGTCTTGGAAGTCATCTTGGGCATCTGGGGCGCATCTTGGGCGCATTGAAGAGCGCCTGGAACCCATCCCAGCGTTGTGCGTGCGTTGTGGGTCAGAATCGTCAGGGATGCTCGCGGCGAGCGAGAAGGAAGAGGAGGACGAGGAGGACGAGGACGAGGAGGAGGAGGAGGAGGAGGAGGAGGGGAGGAGGGGAGGAGGAGAAGGGGAGGAGGAGAAGGAGGAGGCCTCTCGATTGCTTCTTGGGGCATTTTGGGGCAACACTTGACAGTGGACAAGACGCTTGTTTGGGAGGCTGCTTGGGGTCTCTGGGGAGGTCTCTCGGGAGCCTCTTGGCTGTATGTTTGGGACCTCCTGGGGCCTCTTGGGGGCCTCTTGAGGCCTCTTGCGAGCCTCTTGGGGGCTTCTTGGGGCCTTCTGGGGGCCTCTCGGGGCCGAGAGCTGAAATCTACGTTCGGGTGCCTCGTCAGGGCTCGCTCTTGGCGCTCTCTTGGGGGCCTCTTGGGCCGTCTTGGAGGGCTCTTGGGCTGTCTTCGGGCCCTCTGGGACCGTTTTGGGGCCCTTTTGGAGGCGTCTTGGACCGTATTGGGGCGATCTTGGGGGCCTCTTGGGCCATCGTGGAGCGTGGGTAAGACGAAAAGGCGAGAACGCCTAAATCTCCGAAATCTTTGACAAACCAAAGTGGATCCATTACTTTTTGCATCTGGGGGCCCTCTTGGGAGGGCTCGTGGTGGCCTTGTGGGGCGTTTGAAAGGCGTCTTGGGCCGTCTGAAGACCACATTGGGCGTCTTGGACCGATCGTTCGACGGCTGGGAGCCCTCTTGGACCGTGTTGGGTGCCTTGTGGTGTCTTCTAGGAATGCTCTGGAGAGCCTGAAGGGCGGCGCCCAGAAGGAAAACCATCTCTGACCCGAACCGGCCGGGGTTATTTAATCGCTTCGCTCATTCCGCTGGCCTGTATTGTGCCATCGCAGGCGTTTGCTTGCGCGTTCGTGGCCTCTTGGAGCCTCGTGGGGGCCGTTTGGGGGCCTCTGGCGCGTCTTTTTGGGCCTCTTGGGGACGTCGTGGGGGCTTCTTGGGGCCTCCTGATGGCCTCTTGGGGCGGAAGGCTCGACTGCGTGGTTCGTGTTCCCCCTCTTAGGCCCATCTTGGGACCGTCTTGGGGCCCCCTATTGGGCGATCTTGGGCGCCTCTGGGGCCGTTTTGGGGCCCTCCCGAACCGTCTTGGCGCCCTCTTGGGCCGTCTTGAGGCCGTCTTGGACCCTCTTGGGGCTCTCTTAGAGGCCTCTTGGGCCGTCTTGGGGCGATATTTGGAGCCTCTTGGGCCGTCTTTGCGCGTCGGGAAGCCGAACAGATAAGAACGCCAACGTCATTCAAAAACCAATGGGAAATCTATGGCTTTTGCCTCCTGGGGCCCTCTAGAGACGCTTCTTCGCGGCCTCTTTGGGCGTCGTGAGGGCGTCTGCGGCCGTCTGGAGGCTATCTTGGGCGTCTTGGACCCATCGGTCGGCGACTCGGAGCCCTCTTGGAGACTCTTGGGGCCCTCTAGGAACGCTCTGGGGCGCCTGAAAGCCGCGCCCAGAAGGAAAACCATCTCTGGGTCGGACCGCCTGGGGTACTTGTCGTGTGGGACCCTCAGGAGCGGCCCCGCGCGCGAACTAGAAATATTGTTCACCAGTAGCCCGAGATCCTAGCACGCCTCTGGCCCATCGGGCAGGCGAGTTTTCGTCCGGTGGCCCCCAGGGGCCTCTGGCCCGTTGGGCCGGCGAATTTGGTCGCTGTCTTCGGCGAACGTTTGGCCCTCTTGGCCTCTTGGAGGCCTCCTTGGGGCCTTCTGGGCAGGCTTTGAGCCTGGGCCGATTGCGCCCTGGAGGCCGTCTTGGGGCCCTTCCGGGGGCCCTCGGCGGCGGTTTCGGGGCTCTCGTGGATCGTCTCCGGGCCCTCTCGGGGGCCTCTTGGGCCGCAGGATGCACCGCGGGAAGTACCGATAACTAGATGTACGTGCGCACGTGGACGAAGTTTTCACTCGCATCTTGACACGCCTCCAGCCTACCTTGAGAAGAAAAGGGCCGTCTTGGGCGATCCTGGGGTCCGTTGGGCTGTCTTGGACACTCCGAGCGCCGAACCGGCGAGACTGTTTGAAGTCTAGTGGCCTTCGGCCTATCCCACCATCGGGCCTGTTAGATGCCTGTTGGGAAATACTGGTAGGCATCTCGGAAGCCTCTTGGATGCAGTTTGGGATGTCTTGGGGCCTCTTTGGGGCCTCGGGGGGCGAGGGAAGACGAGGAGAAGGAGGATGAGGAGGACCTCGGGGTGGAGGACGAGCGGGAGAAGAAGGATGGGGAGGAGGATGACGATGATGCGGAGAGACAGAGGAGGATGACGGGGCAACAGGAAAGTGGAAGATGATGAGGAGGACGACGAGGGCGATGACGAAGGCGACGAGGAGGACGATACCGACGAGGAGGAGGAGGACGAGGACGAGGAGGACGAGGAGGAGGAGGAGGAGGAGGAGGAGGAGGAGGAGCAGGAGGCCCTTATCTTTTGCTTCTTCCCCCCACTCCTCCCTAGGGGGAAGAAGAGGAGGAGGAGGAGGAGGAGAGGAGGAGGAGGAGGAGGGAGGAGGAGGAGGAGGAGGTGGAAGAGGATGAGAAGGAGAGTCCTCATCCTCTCCCCTCGCCCTGTTTCCCCCCCCTCCCCCCCAGAGAGGGCGGAGACCTCGGGAGGAGGACGGCCCCCGCAGGAACATCCGCCAGAGCGCAGTCCACATCGTCGCGAGGCTCCCCACCCCCTCCCAGGGGGCCGTAGCCACGGCCAGCTGGGGGCCCGCGACAGGGGCCGCTGCGGGGGGGGGGGGGGGAGGGGGGGGGGGCGCCGCGGCGCGCGCCGACGCGCCAACCTACCTTCTCCTCCTCCTTCTCTCCTCCTCCTCCCTTCGCCTCCTCCTTCCTCCTCTTCCTCCTCCTCCTCCTCCTCCCTCCTCCTCCTCCTCCTCCTCCCCGTGACGTGATGCCTCATCCGCCTTTGTCTCTTGCTTCCGTCAGGCGATCGCAAACGTGGATTAAGGGGGCGTGGATTAGCGACGGGTCCCGCTTCCGCGGGGAATCGCGGATTCCGGCCGCCGAGCTCCCCCGATCCATGGGGATCGCTAATCCATGTTTGCGCGCCCCCGATTCCGTAGCCAGTATGGCTCAAGATGGATGTTGAGTCCCCCTGGGAGCAAAGTGGGTGCTGCTGGACCGCCGCTAGTTCCAACGAGTTTACAACCCTGTCGGGGACTCCGTGCCGTCCTGGCACATGCCCTCCTGTGGTCCTGTCTGCTGGCCTCCTCCTGTCAGGAGCCATGGCACCTCGGCCGCGTGATGGGGCGAAGCCAAACTAGTTTTGCAAGTACTGCAAGTACGATCGCGGGCCGAAGTTTGGCATGGCGTGTCTCACGTTCGTCTCCAAGGAAGTGTGTCGCTTCTGCGGCAGCGACAAGTTCGAGTGGTTCCTAGGGCAGGTCCGAGGAAAAGAGGGATTACGTCGGCGTCAGCCAGCAGGCAGCGTGCCAGCCAGTGGACGGCGCGGTACGGACGGCTGGCCAGATCATGCTGCGAAGCACATGGGTATGCAGAGTGAGTTGACTCGCCTAATTACGGGAAGACGTCAAGGTTCAACGCGCATCTATTATCACAAAAGGTGGCCCTCTTGTTGCAGCTGCGGCGGCGGAAGGTGACCACGATGGCGATGAGGCCCTTCAAGCAGTATTTCGAGGTTCTCGAGGAGCAGCTGCGAGGTCTCAAGGCGATCAAGGGTCCTGCGGCCGAGATTCTGGGTTGTATCGGAGCTCAAGAGACGGGGGTAAATGCAAACGGGGGTCAGCCAGGGCTCCGGATCCTGCAGAATCCTGCGAAGACCCCCTTTGGTTGACCCGGGTTAACGAGCCGCTCGTGGCCGCTTGGCGGCCGCGCGTATTGGCTGACCCGGGTTTGCGGAACCCTGCGTTGCAGTTTTTCCAGCATTTCAGTTTTTGTTGGTTTGCCGTTGACCCGGGTCTGATTGACCCGAGTTGACAGACCCCCGATGATATCGAGCACATTGAAGAGCAGAAACACCAGCTTGTCAATCCGATCAGGTCGAAGAAACCGCTGGTTGCGCAACTCCTTCCGGCTGCAGAAGAGGCTCAAATCCAAAGATGCCATCGCAATACAGGAACTGGCGGTGGCGAAGGCGACCGAGGCGGCGGCCAAGGCACAACAAAATTGGAGGAGGAGCAACAGCGAGGTGTGGCGTTGCGAGCCGAATCTACGGAGCTGGGAAGGTGCGGGAAATGAATGACGTGGTCCCGAAGCCCCCTGACTGAGGCGGCGGAGGAGGAGGATGCCAAGTGCGGGCCTGACCTAGGCATTGGGGCCCTGGACAAGCTGCTCGCGGAGCTGGGCGCCCCGGGAGACGTCGCCGAGAAGAGCGTCCCACCCGAAGCTAGCGGAGCGTGTGCTTCGTAGGCCTGCTGTCCGCCCGCAGCCAGGTGCTGCGGCTGGCGAGGAGGGGGGAGGAGGGCGGCAACGGCGCCCTGCGCCGTAGTGGGCCACGGAAGCGGCAGGGCCGCTTTGTCGCCGGTTCCGAAAAAGTGCCCCTTGAAAGTGGAAACGGAAAAAAAAACGGCGACCGGAAATGGCGAGAAAAACGGCTCCAGGACTGGAGCCGGAGCCGGAGCTGGTCAAACAACGGCGACGGAACCGGTAAACAAACGGCGTCGGAACCGGACAAGAAACGGCAAAACGGAACCGGTAAAAAACGGCTCTTCGCGACGCTAAGAGGTTGAAGGAGGCGACGGACAGTGCGCCGATCGAGGCGTTGCTGGCCAGCCTAAGAAGCAGGAGTCGAGGTACCTACCGATGATGGCCAAGTTCGCACTGCGGCTCACAGGCTGGCGACGGGGTCGAGCAGGTGGGCATGTGCTGCGCAGTAGTGCGTTGCGCTTGATTGTGATGTTGGTGCTGGGTAGTGCTTTACAAGTTTGGACTCTTCGCGGAATCCCACCAGCCCATCCAGAAACGATGCCCAGAGGAATTGCCTCGATCAGGGAAGTGGGCAGCACGCAGAGGAAGGGTCCCCCAGTGGAGGCCTCATGGAGCGTCTTGGGGGTCTCATGGCAGTCCTGAGCGCCTTTTAGAACGCCTCAGGTGCTTCGGAGAGCTTCTTGGGGCCTCTCGGGGGTCTCTTGGGAGCCTCTTGGAGGCCTCTTGGGCTCCTGTTGGGGCCTCCTGGGGCCTCCTGGGCGTTTCTAGGGGCCCTCTTGAAACGCTTTTGGGAACCTTGGGAGCGGCAGCGGAGCCTTTTTGGGCCATCGTGGAGCCATCTTGAGGCCTCGGCGAGAAAGCCACAACATGTGTTTACCTAACAGCTCTTGCTGATAGGTTTCTAGTGGTTTCAAAAGAGAGCATCATGACTCCTCAGGGGGGTCTGGGCGGGACCCGGACAGGCTGCCGCCGAAGCTGCCGCAGAAGCCGAAATCGTTTTGGACATCCTCGCAAAATCGCTCTTGGTGTTCCCAGAACTATATTCCCGGGCCACATTTTGGATGCCCGGAGCCAATTGTAGGCCACTTCGTGCTCTTCGACTTCCCAGAACTCCACTCCCGGGCCACATTTTGGATGCCCGGAGCCAACTGTAGGCCAATTCGTGCTCTTCGATTTCCCAGAGCTCCATTCCCGGGCCACATTTTGGATGCCCGGAGCCAACTGTAGGCCACTTCGTGCTCTTCAAGTTCCCAGAACTCAATTCCTGGGCATGATTTTGAATGCCCGGAGCCAACTGTAGGCCACTTCGTGTTCTTCTAGTTCCCAGAACTCCATTCCTGGGCCACATTTTGAATGCTGAGGCAGGCTGATGCTGCGGCCGAGGCAGGCTGAGGCTGAGGCAGGCTGAGGCTGAGGCCGAGGCTGAAGGCAGACTGAGGCTGAGGCTGAAGCAGACTGAGGCTGAGGCTGAGGCAGGCTGAGGCTGAGGCTGAAGCAGGCTGATGCTGAGGCAGGCTGAGGCTGAGGCTGAGGCTGATGCAGGCTGAGGCTGAGGCAGGCTGAGGCTGAGGCCGAGGCTGAAGGCAGACTGAGGCTGAGGCTGAAGCAGGCTGAGGCTGAGGCTGAGGCAGGCTGAGGCTGAGGCAGGCTGAGGCTGAGGCTGAGGCAGGCTGAGGCTGAGGCTGTGACTGCGACTGCCGTTGCCGCTGCGACTGTCATCGCGAATGCGACTACGACTGCGAGAACAGCAGAATTCTACAACTGGATGTTCATCTGAATCTTAAGGGAAATGCTTTCAGATATGCTTCTACACATCGCTGTTAGGTTGCTTTGCCGGGATAATTTTTTGTTGTCCTAAGGTTTTGAACGGATTGTGGCTTCTTCGGGGCCTCCTGGGGGAGCTCTTTGGCGAGCCGCCTGGGAGCGGTCTTGGAGCCTCTTGGAGCATCGTGGGGGCCATCTTGAGGCATCTTGGGATAGCTTGAGCCATCTTGGAGGTCATCTTGGGATCTTCCCAGGCGCTCCGGCATTGTCGCCGAGGCCTCTTGGGGCGTCCTGGGTGCCTCTGGGAGGCCTCTCGGGGCCTCTTGGGCGTTTCTTGCGAGCCTCTTGGGGGCATCCTGGCGGCCTCTTGGGACTTCCTGGTCACCTCTTGGGGCCCTCTTGGGGCGCCCTTGGGGGCCTTGGGCGCGCTCGTGGGGCCATCTCGGAGGAGCTCGATCAAAGAAGCGGGGTTCCTTGGTTCGCGCCGCCCCCCAAGTGGCCACAATGGGGCCAACGCCCTGGTAGCAAACAATGATTTGGTTTCCCCGCCGAGGCCGTTTCGGACGCTCCGACACCTGGCCCCCCCCCCAGTCCAGGGGAGGGGCCTGGGGGGGGAGGGGTCGAGACGCCTTCCCTGCCTGCAAGCCGTTTCGCTCACTCCCACCCGCCTTCCCGACGCGCACGAAGCACCCGGGTCTGGCCTGGGCCGCGGCAGATGCAGCAGTCGTCTGTGGATGGGCAGCTACTGGGGGCCACTCCACCGCCGCCGCCCGCCGCCGCCGCGCCGCCGCCGCCGCCGCCGCCGCCGCGCCGCCCGCCGCCGCCGCCCCCGCTGCCGAATCGCCGCCGTCGCAGCCGCTGCCGCCGCAGCCGCTGCCGCCGCAGCCGCTGCCGCCGCCGCCGCCGCCGCCGCCGCAGCCGCCGCCCCCGCCGCCGCCGCCGCCGCCAAGTGTATTTTGGATTTTTGTGTTAGGGATGCGCTTGCTCAGATGTTGGGGGCAGAGTGTGTGTTTGCATTGTTTTGTTGCAAGGGATGGCGGGGGGGGGCCCTCATTGACTCGCGTCGGCCCCCACTCGCTTGGGGGGGGGTATTTTAATAGGGAACAATGATAAACCTTTCCCCGAAGGGGGGAGAGGGGGTTGGAAGAGGAGCCGCCCTAAACCACGTACGCCCCGACGGCTGGTGGGATTATCCACGATAGCTGCGCGATGGTTTCACTCGATGCATCGGGGAAGGGCGGCATGGAGTCCGCCGAAAGTGCCCTCACCGTGGTCGATGTCTCGCGCGCAAATGGGGTTGCGGGGCACCTTGCCGACGAGCCCGGGGGCTGACCTCTCTGCGGTTCGGGGGCGCAGGGCCAGGGGCGCCGGGCTGAGCTCGCAGCAGGGTGAGGTGGAGGACCTTGGCTTCCACGGTTTGGACGCCAGCCACGGCGGGGGTCTCGGGCGCGCCGGGGCCGTCGGGCGGGGCGGCGCCGCCGACGAGGGAAGCGATCTCGGCGAGGGCCCC